CTACACGACTGCACTTCTGCGATTTTTACCGCGAATCAGTCAACGGTAGCCAGAGAATTTGGCGACTGAGTGGAAACGAGAACGGTCAGGCCCCCACCCCTACAGTACTACTGTCCGCTCTTCTATCAAACTCCTGTGGGTCAGCCACACAAATCGTGTGAACGTGCCGATCACTTGTACTCCCCGTAGAAAGCGCCACATATATTACCCGCCACAGGCAGCACCATCCGTCTTCTAAGACACCCTCTTACCTCACCGGAGACCTGCCAACCGGTCTACGTCTCTCTGTCAGCTTCCTCGAAGCTTCGCTTTTATAACATCCCCTCAGAGGCGCGGCGCGAGGAAGCGGGGCGACGATACTACACGAAGCGCTCTCCGATTGGCTGCCCGGCGTCATGCGACACGGCCGCTTGGGCGCACGTGGAAGGCTGTTGTTGCCTCCCGAGTCACTCGAGGGATTGAGTGACGCCGCCGGATTGCAACGGCTCTTCCGGTGATAGGCAGGAAGAAAGGGCGGGACTGAGAGTTCCCGGAAGCGGAAGCCTGTGTGGCTGTGATGCCTGAGGACGAGAAGGGGGAGGAGTTATCGCTGAGGTACCATCTGGGCGGGGACCGCTGGCGGCCGAGGGACCCCAGTGATGCCGCGTTACTGTGCGGCCACCTGTTGCAGGAACCGAGCGGGGCAGAGTGCCCGAGACCAGCGCAAGCTTAGCTTCTACCCGTGAGTGGTGAAGGGACCGAGCGTGTTGACTGACAAGTCAGTCCTGCGGGTTCAGTGAGGAGCTGGTTTCGCGAGACAGCGCGCTTCCGATCCATGCGACCCTTTACACGTTTGCTCGGGAGTAAGCCCGACTGCTTTCGGTGGGGCTTGCTCTCAAACAAGTATGTTTTAGTATTTACTTCTTGACGGACACGCACGGTTGGTTCTTTAGCACCTCTCCCACGTCATACACCCTCCCTTATCCGACGAGATCCACATAAACACATGTGGCCCTTCATGCGCACACAAACACAACGTCTCTTTTGCTCCTGGGTGTTAGTTTAAGGACCCTCTCTCGCGTTTGTGCTTCGTAAGTAAGGATGTGTGGCAAGCAGCTGGCGTTTGCAGCTATGGCCCTCCGTTTGTAGTGTTAGTTGTAGTCTTACCAACAGGGAGTTGTGAAGTGATGCTGGAAATACATTTTGAGGCCCCCTGGGCATGCACATCTTACTGCAAATTTTTACAGCAGTAAGCCTTTGATCTTGACTTCGGATACTGTACCTGCTTATGTACTATTATTTTTCTCTTGGGTGTAATTCTGCAGCTACAATTTTAAAAAACTGCACTTTTCTAAATCGGGTGGAGTGTCACTTGTGACGTGTGGGGGTTGGGTGGCATCCAACTTTTGTTTTAAAAAATGCAATTGTCCTATTGCAGCTGCACTGTAGCATCCAGCAAGCACTTTCCATTTAAATCCTTGCAGTTCAGTTCTACGCATGCATTTTATCATTAGTTCGTGGAATGAAAGGGAACAGAAAGGAAAGCAGCCAAAGGGGGTGACCAGACTTTTTCTGAAACTGACATGCAGCTGGGGAGCCATTAGCCAAATTGCCAAACACTAGAGGATTCTCTGCTGTATTATTGGCCACTGTGAAAAGTGTGAAAGAGTCACCTGATCTCATAATATGGGGAAACATGTTGAGTGTACAGAATGCACAGTAGAACCCACTAAAACTGGCATTGCAAGCTGTGATTGTTGGCAACATTGTCTGTGTGTGCCTGTGCAAAGTTGCCTGCAACTCCTCCATGCTTTGCACAGGGCTACAATTTGTATGGGGGAGGAATCCTCTGGCAGAAGCTCTGGAAAGGTTTTTTTAGTCTTGTGCCCCGAAATTGAAAAAAAAATGGCGGGGGGTATTTTTGCCAATGCCCTAGCGCAGCTGCATAGTAACACTAATTTCTTGCCCTTCCTTGCAAACTTCCTTGCAAGCTTTCTCTTTGTGTCTGTTTTGATCCTGTACACTGGTTGTGATCTTGACAGTTTTTTAAAGCCTGTCCTGTGCTATTTGCACTCTTCTTCCAAATGGATCGATACCAAGCGATTCTTAAGTTCAGGGGGTTGCAGAAGGTCCATGTGACTCAGCTCCCATTTTAATGTTAGGCTTCCGGAGCCTTCCAAAATGGTCCCCCCAAAAAAACTTTGTTCACTAAAGCATTAAAGGGAAAAATGTTTTCAAAACTTTAGGCTTTTCATCCCAGTGCCTCTCTCTTTATATCTCACGTCAATTTCATTCTATGCAGACACGTTGATGGGGTCTGAACTGGCAGAGACTGATCAAGAGAGAGATCTTGGAGTTGTAGTAGATAGCTCACTGAAAATGTCGAGACAGTGTGTGACTGCAATAAAGAAGGCCAATGCTATGCTGGGGATTATTAGGAAGGGTATTGTAAACAGATCAGCCAATATCATAATGCCGCTATATAAATCAATGGTGCGACCTCATCTGGAATACTGTGTGCAATTCTGGTCACCACACCTTAAAAAGGATATTATAGCTTTGGAAAAAGTGCAGAAAAGAGCAACCCGAATGATAAAAGGGTTGGAACACTTTCCCTATGAGGAAAGGTTAAAGCGCTTAGGGCTCTTTAGCTTGGAGAAAAGACGACTGAGGGGTGACATGATCGAGGTTTATAAGATTATGCATGGGAAAGAGCAGGTAAAGAAAGAGGTACTTTTCTCCCTTTCTCACAATACAAGAACCCGTGGGCACTCCATGAAATTGCTGAGCGGTCGGGTTAGAACGGATAAAAGGAAGTACTTCTTCACCCAAAGAGTGATTAACACTTGGAATTCACTGCCACAGGAAGTGGTGGCAGCTACAAGCATGGACGGCTTCAAAAGGGAATTAGATAAGCATATGGAGCAGAGGTCCATCAGTGGCTATTAGCCACAAGGTATAGATAGGGGCTCTGGGGCAAGTGATGCTCTGTCATCTTGGTGCTTGGGGGGGGGTCAACAGTGGGAGGGCTTCTACTGTCCTAGCCCACTGGTGGACCGCCTGATGGCACTGGTATTTCTGGCCACTGTGTGATACAGAGTGTTGGACTGGATGGGCCTTTGGCCTGATCCAACATTGGCATCTCTTATGTTCTTATCCCTACGCCTTTATTTTGTTTGCAGCACTGAAATATTTTTGTTGTTGTTTTTGCAGTGGAGACACTGCCATCTGCCCCCCCCCCCATACAAGCAAGCAACTCAACCTTGCTCAGCTCCTTTTAAACCTCCCCTCTTGTTTTAATTTTTTAAAAATTCAGTGATCCGAGACTAGTGATAGTCTCATTTTGCTAGACTCATGCTGCTTGTAAAAAAATAATTAAAAATTAAAAAATGAGGGGGAAATGGAGTTTGTACACCGATGGGGGGGAGGATGGCAGAAGGTGCAGAGTGGGTGGAACGACCTTGATGTGGGTGGAGAGTGGCTTTCAAGGGGTGGCAGAAGGGTGGGGGGGAATCCAAGGGAATCTGTATGCTTTTGCATTCCCTTCAGCTTGGAAGCAAAACAAGGGGGAAATTGGCACAAAAGCACTCTCAGAAAACCTGAGGAAACATCAACCAGAAAACCAATGGAGGAAAATCAATGCAGAATGACAAAGAAAACCCAACCGACATGTATGGTGAAAGCAAGGGGAAACACATGTGCATAATAGGCCTAAATTTCCTTCCAAAGTTGAATGGCTGCATTTAGAGTGCATCCTCTATTTGTGTCCCCTTTCCACTTCAGCTACTAAACTGGGAATGGAGGTGTTATGTTTTTATAACAATTGTTTATGCAAGCCGAGGCTGATATTTTCTGTGACTTTTTATGAGTAGGCCCAATAACTGATTTGCACGTGTGAGTTACAAAAATTTAGCATAGTTTTCTGTCACAGTAAACAAGATATACAAATCTGTATTAACTTAGTCAAAATTAAACAGAAATCTAACAAAATTTATTTTACTTTAAGCTTTCATGAGTCAGAGCTTATTTCATCATATACACATTTTGTCATCCTTTAAGATGCCTTTGAACTTTTATTTGGTTGCAAGATACTATAGGTGCTACCCCTGTGGACTTATTTTAACTGTGAATGTCTTGGCATTGGGGAAAAAGTGAGAACCAACATAATTTGAACCAGGTTGTCTTGGTTTTAACACTGGAGTCAGTTTTCTGTGACTCAGTACACTCTAAGAAGGTGAAGAGGATAACTTCAGAACACATACAGACCTAAGAAACTACAGTGAGTATTCAGGCATCACTTCACACTGAAAGCTCACACAATGTAGTGATTGGAGTGTTGAAGTAGGACCTGGAAGACTGTAGTTCAAATCCTTACCCTACCATGGAAGCTTGCTGGGTGACCCTGGACCAGTCAGTCTTAGTCTAACCTTACAAGGTTGTTGTTGAAAGGATAAAATGGAGGAGGGAAGAACAATGTAAGTCCCTGAGTCTCTCTGGGAAGAAAAGTGGGATATTAATATCTAAATACATTAAATAAATGTATCAATTCGAGAAAGGCCATATCAAAGGACATGTCTTCTAAACGGGTCTGAGATTGTGTTTAGAAACTAGCTTTTTACAACATTCACCTAGTTCATTTATTTATTCACTTACTGTACAATTTGCCTCTCTTACTGAGGCTCAGGGCAGATTACAGCTAAAAAACTGCAGTAAGAGCAGTGTAACACATGTAAGCAACAGTTAGTGTATAGTAATTGTAAAGAAATAATTAGACAATGTTGCATTAAAAATACAGTATAATTCTAAAAAGTATAATTCTAAAAATTCAAAAAAACAAGTGTAAAATATTTATTTATTTATTATTTGTATTTATACCCGGCCCTCCCCATGAACAGGCTCAGGGCAGTTTACAAAAGTCGGTACAATGTACCTAGTCAACATAACATTTTTAAAACAGCTAGAACATTCATAACATTTAAAACATTTAAAGTGCTCGCATTATTCCTTAAATTAGATGGCGCGCTCTAAGATATACCATCTGAGTTTTCAATTCAGCAGTCTTCCAGTTTTCAATTCAGCAGTCTTTCGATCTCCTAAGTAGGTATAGGCCTAACTCCACGTTAGGGCCAGCCCTTTACTACAGATGTTCAAGTAGTATAGTTGGTGGTCATGGTGGCAGCTTCTAATTGAAAGCCTGGTGAAAGAGCTTCATCTTGCAGGCCCTGCGGAACTGCAAAAGGTCCCGCAGGGTCCTGATCTCTTCTGGGAGCTCATTCCACCAGTAAGGAGCCACCACAGAGAAGGCCCTGGCCCTGGCGGCGGCGAGTGGCATCTTCGGGGCCTGGAATAGCTAACCGATGTTGTGACCCCAACTGTAGTGCTCTCTGGGGTATATATGGGGTAAGGCGGTCCCTCAGGTATGCCGGACCCTGGCCATGTAAGGCTTTAAAGGTAAGTATCAACACCTTGAAGCGAATTCAGTATGCTATTGGCAGCCAGTGCAGTGACCTAAGCACAGGCTGAATGCGCTCCAAACGCGGGAGGCCCATCAACAGCCTGGCTTTAGCACTCTGCACCAGCTGCAGCTTCTAGATTTGCGACAAGGGCAGCCCCATGTAGAGAGCATTACAGTAGTCTTGAGGTGACTGTCACGTGGATCACTGTAGCCGGCTCACTGCGGTCGAGAAGAGGAACCAACTGCTGAGTCAGCCGAAGATGATAAAAGGTCGACTTTGCAGTGGC